CCTACAGTTCCATTGAGGACCTGCAGCTCCTGTCCTGGGACAACGCCCCCAAGTACTGCGTCCAGCTGAGTTTTCCTGGTGGGACCGTCCTGCTGCAGGTATTTAGAGCTAAGCTAACCTTTAGCTACATTCTTGACTCTTTTTTGCCAACTTAACCATCATTTTGGCTGGGATTCTCCTGGGTCTTTGGAAAGTGACTAACTTTGAGCCAGTGTTAAGACGTTAGTCATCGTTTGGGTAATTTAGCCGTGTTTTAGATTGTCAGCTAGATGCTTAGCTAATTTTAGCCTCTGGCTAACTTTTGTTGCTAACCATGAATTAGCTAAAGGTACGTGTGTGTGTGTGTTCAAACCACAGGCTGCTAACAGTTACCTGAGGGACCAGTGGTTTCACTCTCTGCAGTGGAAGGTGAGTCGGTACTTGTGTGTGTTCTCTTATCAGTTCCAGGTTCTGGTCCTGATAGAAAGGTGCTTGTGGTTAATTGGGGTTTCAAACCTGTCACTGCTGTCACACCTCGCAGAAAAAGATCTACAAGTACCGGAAAGTTCTGAACAACCCGAGTCGCTGGGACGTGGTGCTGAAGGAGATCCGAGCGCTGGTGGACATGGCTCTGAGCTCCCCCCTGCAGGACGAGTCCATCCACCAGGCACCGCTGCACATCATCTCCACCCTGCTGGCCGAGGTAGGAACTGCAGTATCAGTCTGTGTAAGGCCCTGTAAAAAAGAAAAAAAGATTTGAGCGTTAGCCCCACGTTAGCCCTCAGATCAATAATCTCTGTTGTTCCTGTGCCGCAGAACTCGAACCTCAGCGCCCAGGACCACGAGAACATCATCGTGGTGAGTTGTTATCAGGCTAGCCTGCTAGCTAACCTTTAGCTGTTTCTTGCATGTGCAGGTTGTTCATGATGTTAGCTTAACTCTGTGTGTGTGTGTGTGTCAGGCCATCGCTCCTCTCCTGGAGAACAACCACCCCCCCCCTGATCTGTGTGAGTTCTTCTGTAAGGTAAGGCTGTTTCCTGTTTGCTCTTCTTCTCTGTTCTCTGTTTTTTTTTCTTACTTCCTGTTTGTTGATGATGTCACTGCCATGTGTCGCAGCACTGTCGGGAGCGGCCGCGGTCCATGGTGGTGATTGAAGTCTTCACTCCTGTGGTCCAGAGAATCCTCAAACACAACATGGTAGGGAGGCAGGGGGCGCTGTTTCATCCGGTCTGGTATTTGGACCCAGGTTTCCTGGTCCAGAGCTGTGACTGTGGTTTTGTTGCTCCGTCCTCTGTGCAGGATTTTGGGAAGTGTCCTCGACTGCGTCTCTTCACCCAGGAGTACATCCTGGCTCTGAACGAGCTGAACGCTGGGATGGAGGTCGTCAAGAAGTTTGTCCACAGGTGAGAGCAGCTGTCCAATCAGCAGCAGAGGGCTAGGAACTGACCCCGTCTTTAATTCTGGACACTCTCTGCTCTGTGTGTGTTTCAGCATGCACGGTCCAACAGGACAGTGTCCTCATCCTCGTGTTCTGCCAAATCTGGTGGCAGTTTGTCTCGCTGCCATTTACTCCTGCTACGAGGAGTTCATCAACAGGTCAGTCACACACACACACACACACACGTCCAACAAATCGGACGAGGCCACAGAAGTCCGCCGAGAAAGTTAGTGATTTGAGCTTCGACCAAAGTCTGTCGAGAAAATCAAGGGGGGAAGAGAGGAGGGAGTCAGGGGACAGATGTGTCCTCTGTGAGTAGAGACTTCTGGGGAAAAAATGAGACGTTTGTCTCTCCTGGGCGAGAGAGGACAACATGAGAGGAGACACTAATGATGATGAGACCTAAACACAGCGTCTCTGTGGAAAATTACTGGAACATTTATAGTCTTGGCACAATAACTTTTAATTTGAACACGAGCACAGTTATTGAGTTGCAGTAGTTAAAGGTTAGCTTGATGCTAATCAGAAAATTAAAAAAAAGTGAAAGTGAAATCAGACGAGTGGAGATTATTGATCCTCCACTGCGACGCTGGTCAGAACATAAAAATATACTTTATATTTACAGTAATAATAATTCAGAATTATTATTCTGAGGTCACCAGGCGGTGTGTGCGTGCGTGTGTGTTTTTGTGTGTGTGTGTGTGTGTGTGTGTTTGCTCTGGTGAAGGAAATCCTCTCTGATGTTTGAGGATGAATGAGTTCCTGGCTGTAAATCAGATCGTGTCTCATTTCGCTGATCAGATTTCCCAGCAGCCTCTGCTGCAAATCACTCTTTATTTCCTTCACGATGGAACGGGAAATTACCCACAATCACTTGTGTGTTTGTTTAATCAACACAGAGACTAAAACGTGAACAACGTGGGCAGCAGCTGAATCAACAGAGACATGAACTCACCGTCTCTGGATCAACTCCTCGGGATGGGCTAACTGTTAGCTCGCCTCCACGCTAGCGCTCAGCTACTTTTATCTTGACTTACCGTCTAATATTTATACTTCTGATGTAGTATTTTAGTGTATTTTAAACTAAGCCCCTGTCGTTCTCGTGTCATTTTATTTTTATTAGCATTGATTTTTAATTAATCGTAGGAAGTGTTGCTGCCAAAAATGCTAAATTGAAATTAGCTTAGCAACGTACCATCAGGGTAACAGTTAAGTTTGGTAAACAAGGAGGATTTACTGCCCCAGGAACAGGAAAGTAGGGTTTTTATATTATTGTTTGTAAATCTAGCAGAGAAACAGCTCCCTCTACCTGCTGATGTTGGTCTGTTCTTATTCCACTCTGTAATTATTCAGGTTCAGAGTTCATTTCCATTTTTTTCTATTGAATTTATAGATTTGATTTTAACCGTCGGTCACTTCTCTCTCTGTTTGCTCCTCCCCCCACAGTCGGGACAACTCCCCCTCCCTGAAGGAGATCAGGAACGGCTGTCAGCAGCAGAATGAGCGTAAACCTCCGATGCCTCTGCGCCTGCTGCGTCCTGAGCCTCCCACGCCACCGCCTGCCACTGCGACGCTCCTTCCCATGTCCAACAGCCCCCAGCCCGCCCCCCCCTCTAACACCGCACCCTCGTCATCCTCCTCTTCCTCCTCGCCCACACCCTCGCTGCCCCTCTCTCCTCCCACCTCCGTCGTCAACTCCAGTGAGATCCTGGTGGAGCTGGAGCGCAACAACAACTCTGCCAACACCAAGAAGAAGAGCGCGCCTTTAGGGGGCGACAGCGAGCCCAACCTGATCGACTGTCTGCTGGTCAGCCCGGCTGTCAACACGTTGTCCATCCAGCTGCCCGCGCAGGCCGACCGGGTGCTGGGCTGCTTCGCCCTCATCCTCAAGATGCTGTGAGTTCACACACGATCCATCGAACGCCGCGCGGACGTCGGGTTAGCTAATCTGGTGTAGTTTGGGGGGTGGGGCGGGGTTTGTTTGAATGAGTTTTATTACAAACAGCTCAGTGACGGAGGATTGTTTTATGTTATTTACATTTGCTTACCATAGCAAACATGTCAGAAAGGGGGCGCTAATCTTCCATGGTAACTAAAGATGAAAAAACGACGACTTTGAAGGACAGAGTGAATGTGAGCGGTGCAGCCGTGATAACATCTGAGCTGGTCCACAGTCTGGGCTGCAGACCATGTTACTCAACTCTGGGTAACGTGATGCCGTCCACAGTAGCTTCCTTTCAGTCCACATCGCAGGTTTGCGTCATCGGAGCCTCGCGTTACAGCTAACGCTCCATCTTTTTGTTTCCTGACCGCAGTCACTCGGGCAACGCCCTCCACTGTTGGATTTTACAATGACTGTTTTTTTTTTCCTCTCTGTGTTTGTGCTGCGTCTGCGACCCACAGGTCAGACTACGACGACTGGAGACCTGCTCTGGCCAGTCTGCTGCAGCCCATCCCCTTCCCTAAAGAGTGAGTGGATCACACACAGACACCGTTTAGTATTTAAGTTCAAGTCTTTCATGAATGACCAGCTGCTGGTCCACTGATGCCCCCTGTGGTCAGTTTTATTTGAATGTATTTGAATATCTGGAGGCAGCAGCAGTTCATTAACCACTCTGACTGTCTGAGCTAAAATCTCTGATTTCCTCTATGGACTTTTAATATTTTAAAAAGTAAATTCACACAAGCAGTTTTTAAATAGTTAAAAGTTTAAATAGTTTAAATTCATTCTTCTTCTCTCAATAATGAATGAATTAAACGTAACTAAACGACTTCCTGGTTGATTTGAATCCACAGTCTGACTGTGACACAGATGTCAGTTTTAATGATGAGAGTTTTTAAACGTGGTTCAGTCTCCTTCACCGCCTCATGGTGGCGTCAGTGTCTCCAGGGACGTCTCTGCGCTTCTTAGAAACCTCTGCTGGGGCCCAACTGCCGACGTAGTGGAGGCCCTCCCTGAGCCCCCTGGGGGTGAGGAGCGACAGTGGCGTCCTCAGAGGGGGAGCTGTATAATTGGCCAAAAGCAGCCGCGGGCGTGGGCCGCGGGCCGCGGCTTCGCTCACGGCTTCATTAGCAGCGTCTCAGTTTGTTACTTGTGTTTTTTTAGTTGGGCTGGGACCCACATGTGGCCCAGCTGGGCTGCTGTTGCCCAGTCAATGACTTCAGGCGTCATTAGGAGAAGCAACAATACTCCCCCGATGAGTCAGGCACTAACGTGCTGGAACATCGGTGCACGCGGTGGTGTACACGGGTCACGCTTGTCAACATGTCACGTCACGTCAGCGCTGTCACGACAAAAAGTCAAAAAAAAATAGACCTTTAATTTAAAATGTCGGCAGTTTGAAGTTTTTTTTTTTTTTTACTCTTGTATGTAATATGAACACCCGGCCAACTGTGCTGTGTGCGCCCCCTGCTGACGGAAGTCTGCAGCTCACTTTGTTTGTCGCAGGTTTTAAAGAGTGAAAACTGTTCTCTCCCCCCCCCTCCCCGACCCCCCCGACCCCGTCTGTCTCTCTACAGGGCTCTGGCTCACGGCAAGTTCACAAAGTGAGTAGTGATGACATCACACTCAGCTGTGACATCATCAGCTCCTTTCACCCAATTAAAAAACTGACATTTTTATTTTCCTCTGTCCAAACAGAGAACTGAAGTATGTGATTCAGAGGTTCGCTGAGGACCCCCGCCAGGAGGTGTGTGTGTGTGTGTGTGTCTGGATATGTGTGTGTGCCGTGGATCACAGTGCTCATAGTGAGTGTGTGTGTGTGTGCGTGTGTGTGTGTGTCTCCTCAGGTTCACTCCTGTTTACTCAGCGTTCGTTCAGGTAAAGACGGCTGGTTCCAGCTCTACAGTCCAGGGGGCGTGGCCTGTGACGATGATGGAGAACTGTTTGCCAGTATGGTGCGTAAGGACACACACACACACACACACACACGATCAGTGAAAACAGTGAGTTCACAGAGACACTGGAGCTGCTGGTCCTCTGCTGCCCCCTGTGGTCAGTTTGTGTCACTACAGTGAACAGTGAAGACATCAGAGGTGAAACCAGCAGCTGTGGCGTCTCTCGGTGCACTGGTCTCATTGACAGACCTGCGTCTCCTTGTCTCCTTGTCTCCTTGTCTCCTCCTCGTCCTCCAGGTCCACATCCTGATGGGCTCCTGCTACAAGACCAAGAAGTTCCTCCTGTCCCTGGCAGAGAACAAGCTGGGTCCATGTATGCTGCTGGCCCTGAGGGGGAACCAGACCATGGTGGAGGTGTGTGTGTGTGTGTGTGTCCCAGACTGGTCCTCAGGACAGGTGAAAGACATGAACACGTGTTCACAGCCCTGTGTGTGTGTGTGTGTGTGTGTGTGTGTGTGTGTGTGTGTGTGTGTAGATCCTGTGTCTGATGTTGGAGTACAACATCATTGAAAACAAAGACACTCAGCTGCAGATCATCTCCACCCTGGAGAGCACCCAGGTGGGGCTGCGCATGTACGAGCAGCTGTGTGACCGCCAGAGGGAGCTAAAGGAACTGGTGAGTGAGAAAACACACACTCACACACACACACACACACACACTCACACACACATTAGACATCAGAATGATAAAGTGAGTTAGCAGAAGTTCTCGTTCTCTTACCACCTTTTCTCGGGAGTTCCTTAAGACTCAGTGCTGGGGCCCCTCCTCTTTTCCATGTAGCCCACCTGACTGGGCCGGATCATCGGGTCACACAGCACAAGAAATACCAGCAAAACCGGACCACAGTTGTTAGCGTGAATCCCGTTCCTCTCTGTGACCTCATCGTTGGTCCTCCTCGTTGAATAACAGCTTCTGCGGAACTCATAAATGTCCATGTAAATCATATCGGTTCACAGCTCCACCTACTGCGAGAATGGAGAACTTCTCCCTGTAGAACCTAGAACTCACCTCACCTGACCTTGTTTTCTCCCCCTGCAGCAAAGGAAAGGAGGTCCAACCCGACTGACGCTGCCGTCCAAGTCCACGGTCAGAACCTTCTCGCTCTGGTCAGCTGTTCGCTCTGAGGTTTGTCTGTCGGCCCTTCACTAAAGTACGTGTGTTCTTCACACACTCAGGATGCAGATCTGGCTCGGCTGCTGAGTTCTGGTTCCTTCGGGAACCTGGAGAACCTGAGTCTGGCCTTCACCAACGTCACCAGTGCCTGTGCTGAGCAGCTGATCAAACTGCCTTCACTGAAGCAGCTCAACCTGTGGTCCACACAGGTACACACACACACACACACACACACTCACTCCTCTGACGCTCTAACACTAATCTGTTTTTTTCTGTTTTTTTTTTCCGTGTCCTCAGTTTGGGGACGCAGGCCTGAGGTTGTTGTCTGAACACCTGGCCTGTCTCCAGGTCCTGAACCTCTGTGAGACTCCGGTCACTGACGCTGGGCTGCTGTCTCTGAGCTGTGAGAACACACACACACACACACACACATACCTTATCATCACTTATTGACAGTTCAAAGGTCTCTACAGGAGTGGACACAGGAGCTGATGGTCCACTGCTGCCTCCTGTGGTCAATTTGTGTCACTGAGTGCAATCTGAAGAAAGTATGTCAAACATCAAGTCACACATTTGAAGCAGCAGTGGATCAACAACGGAGCTAAAATGGCTAGTGGTTCCACAGTGTGGTTAACACGCCTGCCTCGGAACCAGAGGAACCTCATGCTTGATTATGTTAATCCTCCTTGGATAAAAACCTCACTGAATGTAAATCACATGAATGTAAAATCACTGATTTTCTTCAGTTTTTTGTCTTTTTATTGACCACAGCGCCACCTGTGTCCCAGACTGTACGTCTTTTAACCTGGACTGTCCCTTTAACTGCTCTGTGTCTTTGTTTCAGCCATGAAGAGTCTGTGCAGCCTGAACATGAACAGCACCAAACTCACTGCTGACACCTATGAGGACCTCAAGGTACTGCAGCACAGACACGATGATGTCTGATCCTTAAATACGTTTTTCTAAAATACAGACTTTTTAATACTTCGTGTTTGTGATTATTTCATTTTGACTGACCTTTGACCTGTAAAATTAAACACTGCTGTTCCCTGAGTCTGACATGTAGGTTGATTGTCACCAGAGTTTGCCATCTAGTGGTTGATCTGAGGTTTCTGGGTAATGCAGGAGAAAGTTGATGTTGATGATAACAGATATCTCTGTCTCTGTTCACAGGCCAAACTGCCAAACTTGAAGGACGTTGACGTTCGGTACACTGAGGCCTGGTGATGGCCTGGCCACGCCCATCAACACACCCACCTGTAAACGAACACACACTCTCACACACACACACACACACACACACACACCATGTCATCACTGCTAACGCCACAACCAGGAACTCTTGATGACATCGACGATGCCAGGATCATGTGACCAGAAGTGATATGCCAGTGGGGGGGGCGGGAAGGGGGGGGGCTCCATCAGAGTCACACATATCGCCAAAGCACGGTGTCGTCTGCTAAGAGGAACTGTCACGTGACCATGGACCTGGTCAATTCCTGTCCTTCCCTGGACCTTGTTATTACTTCAGATCAGAGGAGGCGGAGCCAGCCAATCATGGAGCAGTTTTCTGTCTCCGCCCCTCGTCCTAAATAACGTGCAATCTTTCCCCGTCTCCCCGTCTACCCTCCATTCTCCTATTGAACCCTGGAAATTTCCACACCCTTCACCACGCTGCCCTTAATCGTGGCCCCTCTCTGCTGCCGCCATGTGGCAACATCTGGACACTGCAGCTCACATTCCACTTTCTTCTTCTCTGATCTGCACACTGATGGTGTCTCATTAGAACTTGTAAAGATAGTTGTCTCCGTGGCTGACGCTCCGGTCGTTGTTTTGGGGGAAACAAAAAAAAGAGGTGCTACCTCCTGAGGAAGAAGACTGTGCCTAAAACCCCTTCAATTCACAAGATAAAAAAAAAAAACGGGAGAAAGAACTGAGGAAAAAAGGGTTTTTATCAACTTGAATGAACATATTTTTCCAGACGTTTGTGCTTTCATATACTGTGTGTTTCTATAGAACAGACGGAGAGAGGGCGTGGTGCGTGCTCCATGTTCCAGGAGCGCCCAGGAAACAAACCGCGGCCACGTTTGTTCCTGTTTTGTCTTCATTGTACATAACTCCGCCCACCACGACGTCCTGTCGCTATTTAATAGGACTGTAGCTGTAGCATTAGCCGTGGCAGTCTGGGACTGTCTGATATTTATGAAAAACAAAGAAAAAAAAACAACCAACAAACACTTTTATTCTGTCTAATGAAGTGACACCAGAAGCCAACAAAAGAGGGCGCCATATCAGGGATCTCTCTCTCTCTCTCTCCTGAACCAGATCGTTGGTGGTGAAGAACATGGGATTGGCTCACAGCGATGTGTAGGCGGAGCCATCACCAGCTGAGTTGTATATTTTCATATCTCCTGCTTTCACGATCGCTCCCTCTCTGTTTTTGTCATTTGACGTTTTTTGCGAAGTAGAAGAAAAAACGCAAAAGACCAAAAACAGTTGAATTTGGTTAGTTTTGTTCCGTCAGGCAATTGTGGGCGGGACTTGGGAGCCAACCTGCCTGGGGAGAGACACGGACGACATCTTGTCACTGATTCCGCCCCTAATCCCGCACTCCCTCGCTGAGTTCAAAGTGAAGGATCACAGTGCCTCCAGTGGATGTTTTGTTAAACTCTCTGTTCTGATTATTTAACTGTAAGAACGTTCGTCCACAGTCTGACACTTTTGGAATTTTGTTTTGAGAATGAGACAAGTTTGTTGTACATATTTTTATCCTGAAAGACTTAAAAACCACATCCTGCTAATACCCTCCTTTACTGTGGTAACTGCCCCCACACTGCCCCCACCTGTCAGGGTCTGTTCCAGTTGCCTCAGATGTTGAAAGCAGGGAAAAAAACACAAATTTTTCCAGTTTCCACAAATCTAGCCAAACCTGGTATTTGGTCGTTAATGGTTCCTGGTACTCGACCTACGTGAACTCGATAAGAAAGTCAGCAGAGTTCAAGTTCAAGGGTTCCACAGAACCAAAAATATATTCTTCGGAATTTCCACCAAATCCCCCGCCCCCCAACATTTCAACAGCATTGTGACAGTGATTGACAGGTGACAGGTCTTGTGACTGTGGCTCAGTTGGAGTCGATCCCTTCTGCTGTGGGGGATATTTATTTATTATTTTTTTAATATTCTTTTTAGAGCCAATGATTTTTTTTACCAAGAATTGCTTACAATCTTTTTTTAAATTGCCTTCATGTACCCCAAGGGTACCTGTGCCCCAGTTGAACCACAGCTACAGATGATACAGTAGCATTAAAAACTCTGTCTCAGGTCGAGTCCTTTGTTAACGTCTACACTAGCCTCTGTATGTAGGATCACTTTTAGCGTTAGTGCTACCTTGATGTCAGACTAAATTTCTGCATTTGGGGTAAGAGTGACACCTACTGTTTGTATTTGTTTATACAGAACTTAACAAGTTCCAAGTTAACAGGTTATATTACACAAAAACTAACTAAGCTAACATCCTAGTGTGGGTTTGTTAGCATGTTGGCTAAACTAGTCTAGTTCAGTCCACCACCAGTAGCACACTCACCAAAAAAGGGAAAAAAATGTGGCTTAGTATTTGTGACTAACGTTAGCATTGTAGCCATATCTTTAGGTAGCAAGCTAACATACATTTTTACATTACTGTGTTAAAGACACAGAAGCCAAACGTTTGAGAAAAGTGTACCACAGATATGTTGAATTTTTCAGAAGAGTTCATGACCAAATAAGAAAACAACTCCAGGGGGCGCTACAAGGATACTTCAATATATTTGGTGGAAAGTTTCCACATCCCAGGACGACTGGAACATTCTCTCAATTCCCTCTGTGTTGGTGGTAAAATCAGACGGTCGACTGTTTCTCTGTCACCTTCTATCTTCGCCCTGTCCACATTTTTATACGTCAACCAATAAGATAACAGCTAGCCGTCCAACCACCAGAAGCTTTTATTTATTGAGTGCCATGATGGTTTTTCTGTGCAGTCATCTTTGGTCCGACTCCTGGACCTCGTGCTCTTTGGTTTCCTGTCTGATGTACAGTGTATATAGTCATTGTCTCCTCCTACAGACAAACTGTTTCCTGTCCTCTTCCTCGCCTTCATCTCTGTGTGTGCGGTTGTTTTTGTTTTTAACACAAAGTGCACTGTAATCCAAGACAAAGCGTTTTCATCCACAATATCTTTTAAGTTGCTACGATTCGATTAATCCGACGTTAGTTTCCTGTGTTATCTTTTTGCATGTTGCTGCATCGTCTTTTTTTTTTTGTAATTTTGTTTATAAATGATTCTAAAATATGATAAAAGGGTCTGATCACTATCTCCCTGTGGATGCCATCCAACTGTTTTCTGATTGGTTGTTGCCAGGATCTGCCCACTGAGGCTCCACAGGAGTCTATTGGTCGAAGAAGTTGTGGTTTGATTGTTATTAATATTATTTAAAACAATAAAGAGAGAGAAAAGCCACTTTGATTTGACTAAACTGCTGTTTCCTCTGACACAAATCATATCACTGTAGTCATTATTGTACAAACTGATGTGTTACCTAAACATGTAGGAATAAAATGTCCAAAGAGTGCTCAAAAACTGGTATATTAAAAAAAAACAACTAAAGAATATAAAATCAAGAAATCAAAAAAAAAATTAGCAAAAATGAACGTGCTATAAGTTTTACATAGATATGAAAAAAAAAACAAAAAAACAACGACGTTCTCTAGAATATGCTTTACCCAAAAAGCTAAACGATCATTCAGATGAATTTATCGAATTATTGACTACTTTCTTATAGAATTGAATTTCAGACTCGGTAAATTGTTAAACTTTTAATTCTATTTTACTATGGAGTTATTGATATGTCTCTATAAATGTGTCATGTTTTTATTTATTTTTTCCTTTTTGACATAAACGTCACCCATATGTGCTTTTGTTTTGAAAAAACCACAGCTCTAAGAGTTGAGGCCTGGTTCTTGCTGATTGGCTGAGTAGTTTGTCCACGTCATTGGGTCCCCCTTTGGTGGGGTGGCTGGCGCCTGCGCAGTGGAGTGTTCACTCTGTTAGAGTAAAACAGCAGCAGAGACGTGAGGTTCGTCAGTGTTCTTCAGTCGTGTCCTGTTCTAGGTGAGTTTTATTCCTTTTTTCACTGCTCTGTATTATTTACTACTGATACGGTTCGGTTTAATTGTTATTTAAACACGCTCTTTGTGTACGTGTTGTGTCACGGCTAAATTGCTCCCCCTGCTTTTCCTCTTGTCGTTGTTTTTAACGTGACGTGTTTTTATTTTCTCCCGTGAGACACCGGTGGTTCCCCCGCCTTAGAGTGACCCCTCCTGGTTGACGAACCTTCGAGGTTCCTTCTCCTCTTCCTCCCCCTCCTCTTCCTGAAAATGGCTCCGTCGCGTTCTCTACTTTTTCAGGAAACGTCACGTTGCAGCAGCAGTGGTGTCACCGGTCGTCTGCTGTACTGCCGTGATTAATCGATTATTTTTATCATCCACTATTGATTTCTTATTCATGGTCCAAATTCTCCAACAGTATATTAAATATTCCAACTCAGGATTTAACGTTGGTCTGTAGCGAGACCACCCTCTGCTGGACTAAGTAAGGACTACTTCAAATAGACTGACCCTGACATTTACAATAATTTATTACACTAATAGTTTATAAAGCTGCACCGTGAATCTGCTGCTACAAACAACCTATCAGACAACAGCTAGTAAATGCTAGCACCTCTGCTATAATTAGCATCTGTTATCAGGTGTGTGACTCACGTCCACTTGGTCCTGACGGCTCCAGTATGATCCATTACCATTCAGTACCATCTATGGTTGTTTTTTTCCCTACTACTCCAGAGGAGGGCGCACCTCGACGACGTTATAACGTGAAGTCGGGAAGGAAGTGAGAAACAACACGATGGACTGTGAATTATACAGTTAGACACAGTTAAATCCCGAACATATTTATCAACCAAACTCAGTGTTTTGTTGTTGTTGTTTTCTTTAATTATACACAGTGGAAATCCACTGTCTCTTTATCTCTCTTTTATCCAGTAGGATTGTGGGTAATGAGAGGACATCAGTGCCCTGTGAATGAGATGTAGTCCACAGGCTGCACTGTAATGTAATAAATCTGTCAGTGATGCGGAAAAAATGTGATATATATTATCTGCGTATATGTTTATCATAAAAAGAGCGAGAGAGAGATTTCCCACAGTGACAAGCAGTGACCACAGGAGGCAGCAGTGGGCCAGCAGCTTCTTAATGTCTCAGTGAGCTAAAATTGCTGATTTTCTCTATGGACTCTGGTGTGGTTCAGGGAATGTTTTATAAACTAAAGTCTGATGTTGTCTCTAACTGTCAGGTGAATGTGTGAATGGAATATTTTTATTTCAAAGACTTTTTTTCTGTTGACGACCATTAGGTGAGAAACAGAGAACCACCAGAAGGACGGCGAGAACCACGGACACTGTCAAAGTCATAACAGTGCCTGTGATATTCAATTATAATCTGGATGATTCGTGTGGTTGTAGTCTAACTCTTAAATTAGGGCAATTGTCAACATAGACTAAACTTTAAGTTTAGTTTAGTTTAGATGAGACACAGACGACAGGATGTTGACTTCACTGACAACCACTGAAACAGGAAACAAAGAAAACTTCACATCTGACCTATTTCAACTGGCAGAAACATCCGGTAGGTCTGTTGTCAAAGTGTGGCAACAGACACACACAGTTACATTTCAGTGAACCATTTGGTGCTCAGACGTAATATGAGTTCTGAGAAACTTGTAACCACTCAGAAAAAAAAATACAATGCATAGTGATAGGTGGCGCCAGAGCACAACCTCACCTTAGGCACTGGACTGGCTAAAACCGACTGTGTGTAAAACCTTTCCATTATTTTGTCTTTTCCATCCACAGATGCACTGATTGTGTGAGCACTGCTGGTGTCAGTGCCCTCAGGTGGCGGGAGGAGGGACTGCACTGACAGTACCCCCCAATGGTCCTGCAGGGAGAAACACACTTTAATAAAAGGAGCTGTTCCAGTTTCTGACCATGGAGGGCGTCAGCATTCAGAACCTGATAGACTTTGACCTTCCTGCAGAGGTCAGTGTCCTGAGCATGGACGCAGGTCAACAGCAGGGTCACAGAGAGACCTTCGGTTCAGGGTCTTCCACAGAGGCCCACCTGAGGGACACAGACGTCTCTCAATACCAGGAAGATGGAGGAGGTGACGACAGCGATGCCACAGAGTCAGCGGACAGTGTGAACGACATGGAGTCACCGAGCCACACGGGGGCACTGAGGAGGTCTTCGTCTTCATCTACACACAGCAGGGAGGACGCTGATGCTGAGACACTGGAGGGGAGGACGTTCATGAAGGACTACGTACAGAAGATTTTCCACGGAAAGTAAGTAGAGTCGACAGAAACCAAACTTTAGATCAGTTAGTGATGTGGGTGTTGGAACAGAACGTGGGAAGAACTTGTTCCACAGACACCAACAGTGTTTTCCAGTGTTCCTTATTTTGGCTCTAACTGTTTTTGTTGGTGTTGTTTTACTGCTAAGGTGGTTTTTAACTACATCCAAGCTAACGTTTGGTTATTTTGTTGGATAGGCCTGTCCGATGAGCTCAGCCGACCTATATTATCAACCTGATATTATCGGCCCGATATTAGCATAATTATGTAATATTTGTAAGAATTATTATCGTTTTTTCCTCCAACAGTGAAAACCCATTAACCCAATGCCTGGGTTTGGCCAAATGATGTGTGCAGTAAAAATAGTTTTAGGCAAAAAACGTCTGTATATGAAAGTCAAAGTCACTAGATGGCAGCATTGCAGCTCATTTTATAAATTTATTTTAATAATCAGGGGATTGTATGCAGAATGCTTTCCAGATTTATATCAATATTGGTTGATATTGAAATTGGAAAGGAAGTGTTTGGACAATATTGGCATATCAGATATCAGCAAAAAAGTTAATGTCGAACATCCCTACTTCTGACTTTTTCATTAAATACAGTGTGGTCTCTTGTGTGTGTGGTCAGGGAGGACTTCGACCAGGAGGAGAAGGCTCTGTTTGGACAGCTGTGCAGTGGAGACGCCACCAAAGGTCGGCAGTGGTTCGCTCAGTATGTCAGCGCTCAGGTGAGGAAGACGTGACCACTGACCTTCACACTTGGAATCATGAGAGTAAAACTCAGCAGTGATTGTTGAGGTGGTGCAGTGGGTTGACCTTCAGGTGCAAGGTCAGGAGTTCAATTTCCAAACTCTTCAAACCAATGACCAGTTACTGCCTGACCTCATCATCATCAGGGTTAATTGATATTAATGATTCGTAAAAAAATTAAACTCTGTGTGTGTGTGTGTGTGTGTTTCCACAGCGCTCTCACTCCAAGTGTGTGTGTGAAGCCTCCTTCTACAGACTGGTCCAGTCGTTTGCACTTGTTCTCTTTGAGTGAGTTCCTGTTCCTGTTGTTGTTGTTTTTCTGACTGTAGTTCAGTCGAACACTTCAGTCAAGATTGAAAAGTTATTTAAACTGAACTTTGAACTGAAATACGTCGTTTTTACACTTCTATTAAAGGTGGATCATGTTTTTAATACCAGTATGACTGTGTTCCAGGTGTTACCAGGTGGACGACTACAGTCCAGCGAAGAACCTCATGACCATGTGTTTCACCTATTATTACATCGGTGAGACACAAACAACATTTTTTTTATTTGTAAGAACTTTCTTCCCACGTTTCGTATTAACACCTGAATGTCACTTGGGCTTCGTAGGGACCTGACATCTTTGTTTATTAGTGAGTCAATACCAACGATTTTAGGCGCATACTGCCTCCTACTGTACTGGAGTGTGTAGTGTCATGGTATGACCAGTGACTTTTTATAAATCTTGATTGAATCTAGTGTGTTAGCAGTGAGCTGGTGTGTAGAGTTTTAACGTCCGACGGACAGTGACGATGACCGTGGCTGTAGACGTCAGGACAGTTTTTTTCTGTTAACAGTCGGGTTTGTCAACGTTCTTATCCTTCAGGGAAGTGTCGTCCGTCTCCGTCAGAGCTGCTGGAGCCTGGTGCTCCACCCGCTGCTCTGGACCTGTACCTGAACAAAGCAAACTCCTGGCTGTCGGGGAAGAAGGACCAGGCCGAGCGCCTCCTGAAGAACACGTCCAGGACTGACGTCAAAGGATTCTTCGGAGGACTGGAGAGTAAACTGAGGAGCAACGTGACCCCAAAGACTGAGTGAGATGGAGACTCACTGTGACTGTCAATCACAGCAGTGATGACTGCACGGCTAACCTTCATCCTCTCTCCCTCCCTCCCTCCCTCCCTTTCTCTGTGTTCTGGTCTCCAGAGAAGGAACAGAACTACAGTCCATGTCTCCAGGTACAGAGGACAGAGTTTGACTGGACGTCACAGCAGTGTTTCATGTTTCACTCATGTTTCCTCTCCTCCCCATCCTGCTCCTCCCCCTCCTGCGCCTCCTCAGTGTCCGAGGTTCCAGTGGAAAAGAAAGGAGAAAAGATTTACCTGTACACTCACCTGAAGCAACAGCCAATCTGGTGAGTGGTCATAGGGGGCGCCAAATCCTGCAACAAAATTGTTGTTGTTGTTGTTGTTGTTGTTGTGCTCAGCGTTCTGTTCTCCGTTCTCAGGCACTCGCTCCGGTTCTGGAACGCCGCCTTCTTTGATGCTGTTCACTGTGAGAGGAAGAAACGCTCTCCAACCACCAGGTGACAGCAGTCAGTCAAACCTGAGAATCTAAAGTGAGAGGGAGAAACCTGTCCTCTGCATCATCCCCGTGTCTACTTCTTCTTCTCCTCCTCCCCCTTCTGTCTTATCTTCTTCCTCTCCTTCTCTCCTTGTCCTCCTGTTCCTCGTTGCCTTGCAGAGGAAGGCAGGACGAAGACAAAGACCCGAGGTCTGACCTTTCACTTTTCACACTGCTGCCCCCAAAAATTCAAACAAAGAGAAGTGAAGTGAAGTGATGGTGATGAAAGTCAGAGAGGAAGAGAAAGAGGAAGAAGGATGTCGCTGTAATCTTTTGTTCAGATTTAACTCATTGACACAAAATCACTGATTTCCTCTATGGACTTTGGTGTGGGAAACAGTCCTTGACCTTTAACCTCTGTGCCTCTGGTCCTGACTTTGATCTGTAGAGCCTAAACCCTGATCTTCCTCCTCACTGCAGGGAGAAGTGGTGTCACATGACGGTGGAGGAGAGAGAGGATCGTTCTAAAATTGACGAGAACATCGCCTTCGGTCAGCTGGGGTGAGAAGACACTGTTACTGCTGCTGCTGCTGTTACTGCTGTTACTGTTACGGCTGTTACTGTTACTGCTGTTACTGTTACGGCTGCTGTTACTGTTACTGTTACTGCTGCTTTTACTGCTGCTGTTACTGCTGTTACTGTTACGGCTGTTACTGTTACTGCTGTTACTGTTACGGCTGTTACTGTTACTGCTGTTACTGGTGCTGTTACTGTTACTGCTGCTGCTACTGCTGTTACTGTTACTGCTGTTACTGCTGCTGTTACTGCTGCTGCTGTTTTTACATGGGCTTTAATGAAGACCTTGGACTATGTGGGAACATGGTCCGTCAGTTAGACCTGATAGTATCAGCAGTAGTGAGGTCGGACCAGTTAAAGGTGCAGACAGTGATTATCTTTGACATTTGTCCTGTTTTTCCAGAACATTCACTCACAACATGTTGGCGTTTGGTCTGAGTGAGAAGCTGTGTAAGGACTTCCTGAAGAAACAGGCTGTGATTGGAAACCTCAACCCAGGTGAGATGTGTGTGTGTGTGTGTGTGTGTGTGATGTGTGTGTATTCATCATCAGTAAAATCACACCTCTTCCTCTGTGTGTGTTTCCAGAACAGTACAAGTTACTGAGTGAACACATAGAGAAAATGGCAGCTGACTGAACAACGAGGACAGTGGGGGCGGAGCTTTATGATCACATGACCCTAGTCACCTGACTGAGTTGATGTTTTTTTCATTTGTTTGGTTCCTATTTTTGTCCTTAGTGCAGCAATAATGACTGTAACCAACAACAACAACAACAACAGTATCATAAATGTAGTAGATGTCACCACTAGATGTCACTGATGAAGACATTGATGACATCTCCACTGCCTGGTAGTCGTCTTTCTAATAATGTAAAAATGTGAATTTCTTTCATGATGACTGCTGTTCAGTTCTTCCTCTGACCACTGGGGGTTGAAACAGTTTCTGGTCAATCAATCAATCAAAACCAAAAATTTGATTGATTGCTGTGTGAATCAATTTTTGTAAAAAAATGTAAATATTTCCAATATTTAAACAAGTGTTTGTTGTGTATTTTGATGAATTTCTGTGAATCAAAAAATTTAAATGTTTTGGGTTTTTTCTTTTTCTTCAAAACAAACACTGAGATTGTCCACATCTCCCTAGTGGTTACATGTAGTATTGTAACTGCAACTTTTTGTCTGTCTTTGTTTTACACATTTAACACATTTTTGAATGACCTTGTTCTTAAAAGTTACTGCTAATTGTTGTTTGAAACACGATAAAAAATATAATTTTTTTCTGATTTTCTGTATGTGTCAAATTTACCATCAACAACATTTTTATAAAACATAAATCACATCTTTATGTCACTGTTGGACAAAACATTCCAACTGAAAACTAAAGCTTGTAAACATCACCACTCACACCAAACCTCATGGAAAAATTGTATGATTTAATCAACAGACACAGGGGCTGCCCCCTGTGGTCAGTGTTGGGAGTTTTTTGCCTTTGTCGTGAGTGAACATGAAAAGTCGTGTTGACTCATGTCCAGGACATGTCCCCGATCCTGGTCCTTGTCAGTGTAGTTACATAACCTTGGTCACATGACTGCAGGCTGTTCAGTGATTGGTCAGAAACAACAAAGCTCAGGATTCATTCAGGTTTCATTTTTTTCATAAAACATAAAACAAAATTCCTCCACCAATCAGGGGGCTGTGTGCCGCTCCTCCGCCACATTTCCATAGTCCAGAGTACTGTTTGTGGTTCTGGTCCTTGTGGGACAGAACAGTCATTCCAGCTGCTGCGGCCAGTGGATGTTGATGAAGGTCTTGGTGTCCATGTGATCGATGTAGAGGACGCCGTTCAGGTGGTCGATCTCATGCTGCAGGATACGGGCAGGCCAGCCGCTTGCCTTCCACGTCACCGCTTCGCCTTTTTCATTCAGACCTGCAGAAATACCACAAAAAGTCACAGCACAAATGTCAGCCTGGGCTAAACCAACAGTCTGTTAGCCAAATGATCACAAAGGTTAGCTACGATGTAGTAAAAAGCCATACAAACATCCAAAGCTAACATCGCTCCATGCCGAAGCGTGAAGGAATGTCACTCACACTACGCCTTGAATCTGGACTTTAGGGGGCAATCGTGTTTGGGCGCACTACAACGGTCCCAGTACAGTGCCATCAGTGGCCCTAGAGCCAGACTTTGAATACAAACGATTGTACCAGAATAAAAGTCGTACCAGACACTTCCACAGACAGGAACCGAGGAACCACAGCGGAGAACCCGACAATGCTCTCACAGCCTTCCTGAAAACTCGCGGTCCGTGCGTCCAGAACCCTGAGCTCCGGGTTGATGAAGATCCTCAGAGGTTGGACCGACAGACCGCGGGCTTTGATTGACGCCACCGAGCTCTCCTCCAACATGCTGTAAGGATATTCCAGCATGATGATCCGGAGCGGCACCCCCACCTGGGGAGCACTCAGTCCCACACACTCCAGTTTACGCATCACCTTCACCATGGTGCTGATGACCGCCTGGACCTCAGGCCCCGTCACCTCTGCGGGGTCCACAGCGGCGGCGCAGGAGCGCAGCACCGGGTTTCCAACATGGCACACGTGGCTGTATGGTGGAGTGGGCGGAGCTATGACCTTTCGTTTCATGTAGCTGAAGAAGGAGCGCACCTTGACGTGGCTGCAGTAGCATCGAGGACAGGCTGCTGCTGGTCCTGAGGTCAGAGACAGACCAGCAGGGGTCGCTGTAGCCAAACGTACAGCTGAACCTCTGGCTGCAGAAAGTCTGAGAGTGGACACAGAGAGATGGAGTGTAGACTTCAACGATCTCAGGTTCATGGTGGCGCTGCAGCCTGGGAACAACAGGGTTTAAAGTTACTCCACAGAGATTAACAGTTCCTTTGGCTCACATGGACCCATAGACGGTGCTGCCGCCTGTGGCCAGTTTGTGAAACTGAAGTATACGTATATGAAGGAAACAGTTAACACATTAAAGTAACAAAATAAAAAAATAAAATATATATATTTAACTTACCGATGTCTTCACGGAGTTTCTCCGTGTACTTTTGCTATAGAGGACGCGCTATACGAACGCTACACTCCCGCCGTAAATGCTGACAAATAACGAAATTAACTAATTTTCTTCTTATTTGAAATATCAGACCGGAACACAAACATTCCATTGAATAGTCCTTTAATTAATACTTCTGTTTCTATGTTTTCTTCTCTCTCCGTCCTTGTCAGCCACCATGTTGGTTAGTTGGCCGCTGTTTCCGGTTGCCGGGTTTTCCCTTCACAATAACAGTCCGAACAGGTTGGTCCTTGTGTTACGGAATTGATATTTCAACATTTATTTTCTAAAAGAGCGGATCCAAAAATAGTTACATCGGGGGCAAATGGTCGGAGTATGATGGCCTCGATGTAACTATTTTTGGATAAGATGACCTGGATGACTGAGAACTTACACAGGCTAAAAGAGCGGATGTATATGTAAATACGACCCGGAAATGATTCTTTGCCTTTCCAAATAAAGGCGTAGAGTCTTTTTTTGGATGTTGACGGTCGATACTTGTCAGTACATGTTCAGCAGCAGGATGGGAGGGGGCGGAGGAGCGGGCGATATTGACGACCTACGGTGTTTTAAATACCGCGGTTCACCCAGGTGTCCACTCCACGACAGGTAATGGAGGACAGAGAAGTGCTTACTGTCGACGCAGTCACTAAAGTGGAGTCGTTTAAAAAGTTTCCTCTGTGGATCATAGAGTATGTTTGGGCTCATAAGACCCTGGACCTACAGGAAGGTGGGCTTCGGTTTCACTTTTTACTCTACGATAAATATCCTGAAATTGGCTTTTTTTATTGGACTATTTAGCAACATTTATATAAAATATAAATATATAATATTTCAATTGTTTTTTTAATTACAAGGTTATAAGAGCATTAAAAATGGCAATAACCATTTTCTATATGGAACAGACATTTCGTGATGTTTAACATGTGTAATATTAACAGTTTTTATCTGTAATTCTTTTAATTAAAAAACACTCATGCAAATGCTTTTATCCGATATGGTAATTTCGTTTTTTATCTTTACAACATTTTTAAACCTTTGCAATATTTGAAAATAATGTATGTATATTATAAATAATTCATGTTTTTCATGTCTTTTTTTCAATTGTTTTTTTAATTACAAGGTTATAAGAGCATTAAAAATGGCAATAACCATTTTCTATATGGAACAGACATTTCGTGATGTTTAACATGTGTAATATTAACAGTTTTTATCTGTAATTCTTTTAATTAAAAAAAAACACTCATGCAAATGCTTTTATCCGATATGGTAATTTCGTTTTTTATCTTTACAACATTTTTAAACCTTTGCAATATTTGAAAATAATGTATGTATATTATAAATAATTCATGTTTTTCATGTCTTTTTTGAGACACATTTTATATATTATTATTAAGTGGTAGTCAGTTCCGGTCTCTTCTTCAGCTAATCCTGAACTTTTCATCATTGTTTCCTGTTTCTTTTTTCCTTTTCAGTGATGGCTTCATGTGATTGGCCGGACATTGGTTCTCAGCCTCTCAATTTAGAGGATTCGTGGAGGCTTCGAGTGGCCTCAGCTCAGATGTTCTACATCGTGAAGAACAGAGACGTTCAGCACTTTGACAAAGTAGTGAACTTTCTGGAAACTACGCACAGACTTCTGCCCAGACTGGTGGCTCCTCTCAGACACATGAAGCTCATGTTTGGACTCAAGACCATGGTGAGGATCCAACCGTCCTGTTTTAGCTGGTGTTGTTGACATAGGTTACATTTGCGTGATATCTTTTGGCTAAATCGTATGTTTTGTTGAAATTCGATTTCATTTAACTTACCTGAAATATCGTTAAAACATTTGTTAATTAAATCAAGCCCTTCTCTTTGAATATTTTATAAAAAAAGTTTGGGTAAAAACTGACTCAGAGCTCCCTCTACTGGATCAAAGTTGTATTACAGATGATTCAGGTGAGGCAGCGTGTACGGAGAGAAGTGGAGTTCAGTGTGTTGTGTTTGTCGCCCTCAGGTGGTCATGTGGATGCTGCAGCAGGGGCGAACAGTTGATACTATGTTAAAAATCAATCAGTTCTTCCCGAGGGAACTGCCTCAGTACCAGGACCAGTGTGTAAGTGATCACCTGGTTAGTCTTCTGACTCTGATGTCACCTGGTGTGTGTGGTCATCAGGGCAGTCACAAAGTCTCATGATGTTGACTAAAACAGATTCTGGTCTAGAACCTTCTGAATTTGTTTCTTTTTCTGAGAACACCATTTAAAGAACTGTGTTTTAATTTTGACTTTGTACTTTTTATAATTTAATTTTATGTTAAAATAATCTTCCCGAAAAATGTTTGTGTTGTTCTTCAAACAGACTCAGCATGAGAGGTTCCTCATGAAGAAGAACATCAGGGACTTCAGAACCTTTGCCCAAACACTTGCCATGAACAAGAAACAACGGAAAAATTATATGAAGGTAAACAAAAAAGACAAACAAAAACATCTAAACAGAAAAATACATCCTTCAAAAGAAGAAATACCTTATTTACCATGAGGTTACCCACAATCCCCAGCTGCTGAGTGGCTGCTGTAGTTATTGACAGTCTTCATGGTCAGTGTGTGAGGAGAACAGAGCTGTCAGTCAAACAGGTTTTCTGAGCTGAATCTGGACACAGTCAGGGTCAGTGAACCCATGTTTGAGCCAACTGTAAACAGCCGTTGACAACAGCCAATGAGAAAAGCAGGCTGGGACGCAGGAAGTAGAGCCAGAAGGCAACAAGAAATAGAGAGTCACACACTCATGCCAAGGT